AATGGGAGAGGACCTGAGGGGAGAGTGATATACCGCTGAATGGGAGAGGAGCTGAGGGGAGAGTGATATACCGCTGAATGGGAGAGGAGCTGAGGGGAGAGTGATATACCGCTGAATGGGAGAGGAGCTGAGAGGAGAGTAATCTACCGCCGCATGGGGGGAGGAGCTGAGAGGAGAGTGATATACCGCCGCATGGGGGAGGAGCTGAGAGGAGAGTGATATACCGCCGCATGGGAGAGGAGCTGAGAGGAGAGTGATATACCGCCGCATGGGACAGGAGCTGAGAGGAGAGTGATATACCGCCGCATGGGGGAGGAGCTGAGAGGAGAGTGATATACCGCCGCATGGGGGAGGAGCTGAGAGGAGAGTGATATACCGCCGCATGGGGGAGGAGAGGAGAGTGATATACCGCCGCATGGGGGGAGTAGCTGAGAAGAGAGAGTGATATACCGCTGCATGGGAGAGGAGCTGAGAGGAGAGTGATATACCGCTGCATGGGAGAGGAGCTGAGAGGAGAGTGATATACCGCCGCATGGGAGAGGAGCTGAGAGGAGAGCGATATACAGCCGCATGGAGGAGGAGCTGAGAGGAGCGTGAGATACCCCTGCATGGGAGAGGAGCTAAGATACTGCTGCATGGGAGAGGAGCTGAGATACCGCTGCATGGAGAGGAGCTAAGATACTGCTGCATGGGAGAGGAGCTGAGATACCGCTGCATGGGAGAGGAGCTCCCTGCGTGGGAGCAGTATTTTGAGAAGGGCGATATACCACTGCATGGGGGAAGAGGCTGATGGGCCCCTGCATGGGACAAGTGCTTAGAGAAGGGTGATGTACCACTGTATGGGGGAGGAGATTATGAGAGGGAGTAATTTACCACTGCATAGGAGAGGAGCTTTCCTCCTTTCACACAGTTAACCCTTTGATCGCCCCAGATGTTAACCCCTTCCTGCCCAGTGCCATTAGTACAGTGTCAGTTTTTTATTAGCACCGATCACTGTATTGGTGTCACTGGGGATGTCAGTGACACCAAGTCAGTTCCACCCCCCCCAGTGTCAGAATGCTTGTCGCAGTCCCGCTATAGATCGCTGCCATTATTAGTATAAAAAAAAAAAATCCCAGTATCCATACCGCCATTTGTAGACGTTAGAACTTTCACGTAAACCAATTAATACTTATTGGGATTTTTTTTTTTTTTTTTCTTTTAGACCAGAATACATTTTGGCCTAATTTTAGGAAGAAATTCTATTTAATTTTTTTTTATTATTGGACGTGTTTTATAGCAAAAAGTAAAAAAAAATATTATTTTTTTTTTTTTGTGTTTATAGCGCAAAAAATAAAAAACAGAGGTCATCAAACATCACCAAAAGAAAGCTCTGTGGGGGGGGGGGGAGGACCTAAATGTCTCTTAGATTGTAAGCTCCCAGGATCAGGACCCTCCTTTCCCTCTTGTATTGAACTGTTTTGTTGCTGTATTGTCTCCCTTTTATTTTGTTTTGGCGTTCTATAAATCCTGTATAATAATAATTTGGCTGAAGCGTTGCACGACCGTTCAGTTGTCAGTTAAAATAACGCAGTGTCGTATTGCAAAAAAAGGGGTGGGGGGGGGGGTAAATCTTCTGGAGGGCGAGGGGTTAAAGAAGATTCTGAGCTCATGAAGCTGATTGTGAGAGTCGCATCGTAGAGGGGTGCAGATTTTGTCCGGTGAGCCCCATGTACCTGTAAGGAGACACGTGATGTCTGTATGAAGCTGGAGGGATTGATTTGGCCGTCTTTTAGCCTTTTTTTTTTTTTTTGGTTTTTTTTCTTCAATAAACCCAATTTTCTCATGGTCTTCCTGTATTGCTGTGTGGGTGCAATACTGCGGTCATGTGGGTGGTGTCAATACTTGCGGTTTACATTTCACATCTATCAGTCTTTGATGGTTTCCGGCTCATGTCCGGGAGACCTTACAAACACTTCATCTAAGAAATCCTCCAAACAGATGTATGTATGTTTTCAAGCACAGACCTCCATGCGTAACACGCCTAAATTACATGCGTGATCTGCCAAGATGGGATTTGTGTTCAGTCACTTCTGTGACTCACACATCCCTTCTCACTGCATAGCCGGGGGGGGGGGGGGGGGGGACATCAGGGTTAAAGGTAAGCCTTGAGATGGGGGCCCTCCTGCTGGGTTCCTTCAGTCTTTGGAACTGCCTAAGCATTACCGCAGAGCTCCACTCCCTTTCAGTGACGTGAACCCCCTGGTTTGTGATGAGGAGAAATTCCCAGACACGCCCCCTCTGCTGCCACCTTGCCATCTGTTGCCTAAAAACAGCCTTTCTCAACCAGGGTGCCCAGGCATCCTGGGGTGCCGTGGGGCTTCTTCAGGGGTGCCGTGGGGCTTCTTCAGGGAAGCCTTGGCAAAATGTCTAAAAATTGCCCAAAACTTGTATACAAGCCAGTGGGTGGAACAAGCCGGCCTTTTAGTTGCACAAAGCCCCAGGATTTCATTGTGCGCCATTACGACCTTCTAGCCGCCGGTGTCCTGACAAGCAGTGACATCATCAATTGATAAGGAGGATGTCAGCTGCTTGCACAGCATCCTAGTTTGACCCTCCCTTGTTCTTCTCTGTCAGTGTTGGGGTCACATTAGCTCAGTGAAAAACTGTCTTGTGTGTGGTTTGTGATGAAGAGGAGAAATTCCCAGACACGCCCCCTCTGCTGCCACCTTGCCATCTGTTGCCAGAGCAGCCTTTCTCAACCAGGGTGCCCAGGCACTCTTGACTGCCTTGAGACTTTTTCGGGGTGCCTTGGCAAAATGCCTAAAAATTGCCTAAAGCTGGCCTTTAGTTACGCAAAGCCACAGGTTTTCATTGTGCATCACTACGACCCTCTAGACCCCTTCCGCCTGGCAGTACTATGGTCGTCGGTCCGAATCCCAACCATGGTACCACCTGCCTGGAGTTTGCATGTTGTCCTTGTGCCTGCTTGCGTTTCCTCTGGGTACTCCGGTTTCCTCCCACACTTCAAAGTGTGGGAGGCGAATTGGCTCCTGTCTAAATTGATCCTAGTATGTATGAATGTGAGTTAGGGACCTTAGATTGGATGCCCCTTGAGGGTTAGGGACCTTAGATTGGATGCCCCTTGAGGGTTAGGGACCTTAGATTGGATGCCCCTTGAGGGTTAGGGACCTTAGATTGGATGCCCCTTGAGGGTTAGGGACCTTAGATTGGATGCCCCTTGAGGGTTAGGGACCTTAGATTGGATGCCCCTTGAGGGTTAGGGACCTTAGATTGGATGCCCCTTGAGGGTTAGGGACCTTAGATTGGATGCCCCTTGAGGGTTAGGGACCTTAGATTGGATGCCCCTTGAGGGTTAGGGACCTTAGATTGGATGCCCCTTGAGGGTTAGGGACCTTAGATTGGATGCCCCTTGAGGGTTAGGGACCTTAGATTGGATGCCCCTTGAGGGTTAGGGACCTTAGATTAAACGCCCCTTGAGGGTTAGGGACCTTGGATTGTACGCCTCTTGAGGGTTAGGGACCTTAGATTGGACGCCCCTTGAGGGTCAGGGACCTTAGATTGGACGCCCCTTGAGGGTCAGGGACCTTAGATTGGACGCCCCTTGAGGGTCAGGGACCTTAGATTGGACGCCCCTTGAGGGTCAGGGAGCTTAGATTGGACGCCCCTTGAGGGTCAGGGACCTTAGATTGGACGCCCCTTGAGGGTCAGGGACCTTAGATTGGACGCCCCTTGAGGGTGAGGGACCTTAGATTGGACGCCCCTTGAGGGTGAGGGACCTTAGATTGGACGCCCCTTGAGGGTGAGGGACCTTAGATTGGACGCCCCTTGAGGGTGAGGGACCTTAGATTGGACGCCCCTTGAGGGTTAGGGACCTTAGATTGGACGCCCCTTGAGGGTTAGGGACCTTGGATTGTACGCCTCTTGAGGGTTAGGGACCTTGGATTGGACGCCTCTTGAGGGTTAGGGACCTTGGATTGGACGCCCCTTGAGGGTTAGGGACCTTGGATTGGATGCCCCTTGAGGGTCAGGGACCTTAGATCAGTGGTTCTCAAGCTTCCTAATGCTGTGACCCTTTAATACAATTCCTCCTGTTGTGGTGACCCCCAACCATAAAATTATTTACCCAGTATTTATAATTCATGAATGTCGTTTTACCTCCAATACTGCTGCTTTCTACACAGTAGCTGCTCTTTACACATCAGAAATATGTTTTCCAATGGTCTTAGGCGACCCCTGTGAAAGGGTCGTTCGACCCCAAAGGGGTCGCGACCCACAGGTTGAGAACCACTGCCTTAGATTGGACGCCCCTTGAGGGTCAGGGACCTTAGATTGGACGCCCCTTGAGGGTCAGGGACCTTAGATTGGACGCCCCTTGAGGGTCAGGGACCTTAGATTGGACGCCCCTTGAGGGTCAGGGACCTTAGATTGGACGCCCCTTGAGGGTCAGGGACCTTAGATTGGACGCCTCTTGAGGGTTAGGGACCGATCTGAATGTACAATATATATGTAAAGCGCTATATAAGTACCTGAAATAAATAAATCTCACAATAAAACCATGTCCAGGAAGGAGCTGTATAAAGTGCAAACCAAACTAGCCAATCGCTAGGCATTTCTCTCTAGGAATTGATGAAAGGGGAAACCGTATTGGCTGTCCATTATCGCACCTTCCATGTCCACAGTCAGTCTGTAATTTGGAGGACCGTGTTTATTGGGTATAAAGTGTGTATTGTTTTTTATACCTAGGAGTTCAGAAGCCTCTGAGATGGTGTGATGGCGATGCTTTTGTTGACGCTTTACATCTCCGATATCCCTGGTTTGTTGGCCATGAACAGTATAGTGAAGAGCAGCGTGTGCTGACGGTGGGGGGAGGGACTCGGAGGTGGGGATTTAATATTTTCCATGAACGCACAGGAGCAGATGTGATGTCACGCAGCGAGGCAGGCTCATTCTCTGCTCTGTTAGTCTTTGCAGAAACCAGGGCAAGCTAAGCAGGAACAATGTCGTTCTCCAACCAGCAGCCTCCCGCACTCTCTGAATACAGCCCTCTGTGCAATGCCAGGAACCCGGACTGCTTTCCGGCCTCAGAGTCCCCCAGAGACTTTGCCAAAGCAGAGTTTGAATGGCAGAGGACAGAGGGCAAGCTGAACGAAATAGGGCTGAATGTGAATGCTGGCGGACAAATTAAAGACGGGCTCAGCAAAAACGTTGGCTTCACCGACGAGGACAAGCTGTGCTTCTTTGAGACGAAACTAGACAAAAGCCTGCAACTCGGATCCAAAGAAAAGATCGATTGCGAATGGCAGAACAAAGGTAACCAGATCCTGGCTGGTGCTGATCAGCTCGGAGGTGTTTCTTTCCTCGCAGAACCTTTGCCGAGCTCCAAACCTGCCGAGGTGCCCCTGGCTTCCGCTGGACGTTCTGATGGGTTTGAACACATCGAAGCAATTACCGATCGCGAGAAAGCCGCGCAGAAGACAAACTTTGAGTCCGTCTTCCCACAAGAAGAGGCTCTAATCAGCCTGGCCACAAACTACAACGGCCAGAAGTCCTTTTCCAACCACAATACGAGTATGTGGCATGAAAATATTAACCCTTTACTGGCTGATAATCCCTATAAGAATACGTTCTCTGAGGGCATGGCGAAGAACCACGTTCAGAGTGCTCTCCAGATGCCAGATACCATATCTCAGCCTCCAACCACCCTGGTGGAACTAGCCCAAGAGGACACCAAAACTGATGCTGCCGACCGTATCTGCGACCTAGATGAAGATGCAGCTGAGGTGGATGCAGATGACAGGCTTGATGGCCTTGATGATTGCCTTCTACTTGATAGAACGTCGTATCAGAGGAAGGCAATAAGGCGTGCAATGTCAGAGTGCTCCCATTTGGCTGTCCCGCCTCCTGTTAATATTGCTGATAAATACCCTGAGGCTCAAGGGACAAAAGACAACCTAACCCTAGCGTCACCCCCTGGTGGTCTGAACTACGCACCAGCCAGCCTGTCGAAGAAGCCCAGCAATTCAATGAAGAGATCAATGACCGTCGCCGAGGAGCAAACCGTGGGCTATGACTTTAACACAAGGCATGAGATAATGGGCCTCTGTGCCTCTCCTACAAAGGGGGATATGAATGAAAAAGCTAAAGATGGAGCTTTTTCTTTAACCAATCAGGAGCCGTTTAACCTAGGGAGGCATCTGACAAAGCTGGAGGAGACTCTGGAACCCAGCGGTGGGAAAGCCAAGAATGAGTTGATGTGGGATCCTCTATCCAGCCCACCCTGCAATATCCCCGAGCTTAAGAAAGTAGAAGAGGGCAACGTGGGATACAAGACCACAGAGAAGGCGGCAGATGGAGCCAACCCTAACCTGTATTCACCTCCCTGCGAGCAGCCCGTTGCACAGCATGGTATGTTTCCACATCCCTCTCCGTTTAATTTGGGGCAGCGCTGAGAAAAGGCTGCACGTTTCCCGCATTAGTAGATTTTCTGTTATGTAAGTGCATTCTCAATCTGGGTATGCGTGCAGAGCACAGATGTTGCAGCATTTTATTTATTAGGGATTATCTGGGACTCAGAGTGGAGATGTAAAATCTGTCCGAGTGCATTTCAGGAGACTAGGGCACTGTTTACCTGGTAGAGGGTCATTAGGATCCTTCAACTTCAGTGCATGTACCTCATTTGGGCTCGTTAATGATAAATAGTGCTGTATAGTGAATGAGATGGAGTTAGGTTGCTATAGGCACTCTTACTCCCACTGACACCAACGATGGGGCACTCTTACTCCCACTGACACCAACGATGGGGCTCTCTTACTCCTATTGATATCAATGACTCCCATTGATACCAATAATGGGGCACTCTTACTCCCATTTGATATCAATTACTCCCATTGATACCAAAATGGGGCACTCTTACTCCCACTTACACTAATGATGGGGCACTCTTACTCCCATTGATACCAATGATGCCCATTGATACCAATAATGGGGCACTCTTAACTCTTACGCCCATAGATACCAGTGACTCCCATTGATACCAGTGACTTCCACTGACACCAATAATGGGACACTTTTACTCCCATTGATATCAGTGACTCCCGTTGATACCAATAATGGGGCACTCTTACTCCCATTGATACCAATAATGGGCCACTCTTACTCCCATTGATACTAGTGACTCTCATTGATACCAATAATGGGGCACTCTTGCTCCCATTGATACCAATAATGGGGCACCTTTACTCCCATTGATACCAGTGACTCCCATTGATACCAATAATGGGGGACTTTTACTCCCATTGATACCAGTGACTCCCATTGATACCAATAATGGGGCACTCTTACTCCCACTGATACCAGTAATGGGGCACTTTTACTCCCATTGATACCAGTGACTCCCACTGATACCAATAATGGGGCACTCTTACTCCCACTGATACCAGTAATGGGGCACTCTTACTCCCATTGATACCAATAATGGGGGACTTTTACTCCCATTGATACCAATAATGGAGCATGCTTACTCCCACTGACACTATTTTCCTCCCGCTGGCACCAACGATGGGGCGCTATTCCTCCCGCTGGCACCAATGATGGGGCGCTGTTCCTCCCACTGGCACCAATGATGGAACATTTTCTACTCCCACAAGCTACAGTCCAGCTCCCCTAAAGTCTGTAAACTGGACCTTTGTTTAGAACGTTCGGAGACCGCTGCTGTAGAGTGTTAATGGTTGTTTTTTGCAAATAGGAATATTTGTGCCTTATCCATCACTGGTTTAATGGGGGGTCGATCGTTGCACGTTGGTACCAGCAGATACATCCAGCTGACCTTAATCTGGTATAGACCAGGGTCCATGTTTTGGTTTTTCTTGCGTAATGCATTTTGTTTCCCTCTAGCTGAGGCACTGGGATGCCTGTATGTTCCCATGCTTGGTCCTCCTACAGCTCATTGTTAGAACAACGATCTGATTGGTGGTTGTTCCTGGAGAGTGGACAGCGCAGAACCAGAGGAACTACAGGTCCTAGTTTATTGGCAGCTTAAGCATGCTGAGACTTGTAGTTTTGTCCTCAGTCTAGGGGCTGTTTGCTTTTCCGATGTCCCTGATGAAGTAAACCCCCACATTGTGTGCTGAGCTCAGATAAAGCCTGGTGGAGATGTCACATTACTGGTCATATTATGACTGGAAGGTGTCAAGTTGATGGTTACTGAAGAGTGCAGGGTGGTCTGTTGAGCGGCGCTCTGCTGTCATCCGCATCTATAAAACGCACAGTAGGACTGATATGACAACCGTACGGGTTTGTGCTGCCAACCAGGTTCTCTTCTATGTTTTGCTAGGATTTGATGGTTTGGGGCAGAATTTTCCAGCAGTGGTGTACTTAGATTTCCTTGTTGGATCGGAGTTAGTCGGTTGATTTTTTTAAAAAGGAGGTTCATTCTGACTTTTATTAAAAGGACACTTGCCTGTCCAAGGATCCAGCATGGTCTTCACCCGGGCTAGTTCTTCACTAGCTTTCGAGTTCCCGGCGCCAGCATCCTATCTGTGGGCAGCCGGCTGTGCTAGGCGATCAGCGCACGGATTGGGAGCGGGTACCTGTCAGAACTAGGTACCTACCCCCCCCCCCCCACCCCCCAAAAAAAAATTACATGCCCAATGTGTCAGGGAAGGAGGACTTAAAGTGGAACTTCACCTTTTGGGTGGTGATCCGCTTTAAGTAACAGACTTCGTCCTTTTTGTGAACTCAAAGTAAAAAGGAAAACATGGCTTGTGGTTTTGATGTAGTCTCCAGAATGGAACATCTGGGAACCGGAAAAAAGGGAAAGCGGCAGGTAGATCATTCTCAAAATGTACAATTTACGTGAAGTGTGATGTATTTGCATATAAAATGGGAAGCGTGTAAAAGACATGATGGCAGATGCTGAGACGTAACGGGTTTGAAGTGTATCTAAACCCAAAAACAGTCATTTATTTTTTTGGCGGGGGTTGATTAATTTTCCTAGACGCATCAGAAAATTTGATGAAACTTCTCCAAAGGGAGGAAAAATCTCTGATCATACACTTGTCGCCATAGAAATTTCCCCATTGGAGGAATACCCCTACCTCCTGTTCTGGTGACTTTTTTTTTTTTTTTCTTTTTTGGATTTTGTTGGATCACTTCGTTCCAGTGATGATGGTCACCAGTGTAAAATAGAGAGGAAGGAAGCTCCTCAATGGGGGACACAAAGCATTAAAAACCTGCAATATGTAGATCGATTAATAGATAAATGAAATAAATATCGAAGGCCCTAGATTCGACCTATCCATAGTTCATGGCTGAAGAAAGTCAGTTGACCGCTTATGGAGCTCAGTAGCTCCGGTGAGGCTGCTCTCAGCAAAAATGGGGGGGTGCTCCTTATCTGGGGGACCCCACGTTTAAGAGCCACCTGTAAAAAGATCACCAGTCTAAAAATATAAGTGTACAGTCTTTAATATTGGTGTTTGCGCATAAGAAGCCAACATGAAAACGGCAACGCCTTTTGCGGGGACTCACAGTTATTTATTACAGGTACTTGTATAGGTCCGTCAATTTACGTAGCGCTTTATATATATATATATATATATATATATATATATATATATATATATATATATATATATATATATATATATATATATATATATATATATATATATATATATATATATATATAGATAGAGAGATAGATAGAGAGATAGATAGATAGAGATATAGATAGATAGAGATATAGATAGATAGAGATATAGATAGATAGAGATATAGATAGATAGAGATATAGATAGATAGAGATATAGATAGATAGAGATATAGATAGATAGAGATATAGATAGATAGAGATATAGATAGATAGAGATATAGATAGATAGAGATATAGATAGATAGAGAGATAGATAGATAGATAGATAGATAGATAGATAGATAGAGATATAGATAGATAGAGATATAGATAGAGATATAGAGATATAGATAGAGATATAGATAGAGA